CTCTGTAAGCTGTTCATCACTACCATGAATGTCCAATCTTTAGCTCTAGAAACTGAACATCACTAGCATGAATGTCCAATCTTCAGCTCCGTAAGCTGTTCATCACTACCATGAATGTCCAATCTTTAGCTCTAGAAACTAAAAATCACTAACATGAATATCCAATATTCAGCTCTAGAAACTGAACATCACTAGCATGAATGTCCAATCTTCAGCTATGTAAGCTGTCCATCACTACCATGAATGTCCAATCTTCAGCTCTAGAAGCTCAACATCACAGTTGTTAGTGTCTAATCTTCAGCACTAAAAGCTGAACATCATTAACATGAATGTCCAATCTTCATCTCTAAAAGCTGTACATCACAGTTGTGAATGTCCAATATTCAGTTCTAGAAGCTGAACATTACTACCGTGAATGTCCAATCTTCAGCACTAGAAGCTGAACATCACAGTTGTGAATGTACAATCTTCAGCTCTGAAAACTGAACATCACAGTTGTGAATGTCCAATCTTCAGCACTAGAAGCTGAACATCACAGTTGTGAATGTCCAATCTTCAGCACTAGAAGCTGAACATCACAGTTGTGAATGTCCAGTCTTCATCACTAGAAGCTGAATATCACAGCTGTGAATGTCCGATTCCACCAGATAAACGGCCTGAATGTGATTTATATCATAAGTGGGTTCACTTTCTATTCATGTCGCCCTCATTGTAAGGAGTGCTGCTACAGTAAATTAACAGTTAATAATTTTCAAACCATTAAATAATATATAAAAAATAATCCAGTAATCGAAAATTTACAAAACGTAAAGCCACAAGGATTAACTTCGAAAAATGAGTACACGTTATAATATCCCATCACTTACTATCCACATTTATTGAAGTAAAACTATTAACTAGACTTTTTGGTCGTAGTTTCACCAGCAACTAAGGTTTTCTGACTACTAGCTGAGGTTACTGAGAGAAAAACTTTGTTTGCCAGTTTTTATAGAGCTGATGTAATTTGTTTGTTAGTTTATTGTTAAGCATAAAGCCACACAATAGGCTAACTATACTGTGCTCATCACGGGTATCGAAACCCGATTTTTAGCGTTATAAGCCTTCAGACTTACCGTTGAGCCACTGGGGAGGATAGATATTAAAAGTATGAATCAACAAGTTTCTGGCACCGGCAGCTCCAGTTATTGAAACAAAATTAGTTATGAACTGGTTTATGGCACCAGCAGCTCCAGTTACTGAGGTAAAACCAGTAATTAACAAGCTTCTGGCACCAGCAGCTCCAGTTATTGAGGTAAAATAACTGATCAACAAGTTACTGGCACCAGCAGCTCAAGTTATTGAGGTAAAATAACTGATCAACAAGTTACTGGCGCCAGTAGCTCCAGTTATTGATGTAAAACCAGTAATTAACAAGCTTCTGGCACCGGCAGCTCCAGTTATTGAAACAAAATTAGTTATGAACTGGCTTTTGACACCAGTAGCTCCAGTTATTGAAACAAAATGACTTATGAACTGGTTTCTGGCACCAGCAGCTCCAGTTATTGAGGTAAAATAACTGATCAACAAGTTACTGGCACCAGTAGCTACAGTTATTGAAACAAAATGAGTTATGAACTGGTTTTTGACACCAGTAGCTCCAGTTATTAAAACAAAATGAGTTATGAACTGGTATCTGGCACCAACAGCTACAGTTATTGTGGTAAAACCAGTGATCATGAGTTTTTTGCAGATTTTAACACACCAGATTTTACTGGAACCTACTAGTTTATTATTTTAATACTTCACAAATCATTTGATGTTCTTTGACAGGATTGAGCAGTGAAAACTAAACATATTCAAACTACCGTAAACTTTTTTGTGTCACGTTTTCCAAGGGACTGGGCATCAGTGGTTAAAACTAAAGTAATAACAAATAGTTTTAATGTCTCTAGTAAGAAAGCTATGTTTCATTCGTTCCTTAATGTTAGTTTAATTTAAAATATTGGTTAGATGTTCAACATATATATATATATATATATATTGTGTTTATGTATACTTATTTATCTATTATAAACATATTTTTATAATAAGGATTATTTTCCATTATTCGCATAGTATATTTAGAATTAACCTTTCTCAAGCTGACCAAATCTCTTGAGATATTTTTGGGATTACGGCCTATAATCTCGATAACAGCTAGGATATCTAGTTAATGAAAAGTTTTTATTTTTAGGACATTTCTTATTCCACGTTTGTATTTAGTGGATTAATGTTTTAGGGTTTTTATCCCCACTCCCCCACTGACTCAGCGGTAAGTCTGAAGGCTTATAATGCTATAAACTTGGATTCGATACCTGTGCTGGGCACAGCACTGATAGCCCACTATGTAGCTTTGTGCTTAACAATAAAAGAAGCAAGTTTATATCTATGTAGGTGGCGTGCTCAACAAGACACTTTGTGGCACGTTAAGGAAGTGTTATACCCTGTATTGATGATAGTGTTTTATTCTCCAGATTCCCGACAACTGCCTCTTGGAAGAAGACACAGTGTATTTCCCAACGGGACTCTGGTAATTAGGAGTGTTGGACGGCTCGAAGATCAAGGGACTTATGTCTGTACAGCTAAAGGAGAAGACGGTCGTTCATCAAAACAGGACCTTCACCTGCAAGTGTTGGGTGAGTGTTGAATGTTGGTGTTTTTTAATTCAGCGAATATTACCATTACATGTTTTATAAGTCCAAGTAATTTTAAATCAAAACTTTGGTTGCCTGTGACAACGTTATATGTAATCAGAAATGGAAAATACTTTACATGATTTGGAGGATAGACATAAAAATATTAGGTCGTCAAGAAATTAATGTCGCTTTTTTTAGATGAAAAAACCCGAATAACTTATATATCAAAACAAAACATTTAGTAAATGAAATAGTCTCCATTCTTATCGACGACGCTTTTCTACCTTACAATCAAGTTGTTAATACCCTGTTTAAAGAAATCACTTGGCTTGGAAGCAAAAAACATGTCGATGTTCTCGTTAACACCGTCCACATTTGCATACGTTTTCCAATTAAGATGGTGTTGCAGTGAACGAACAAGATGGTAATCTGATGGTGCCATATCTGGAGAATATGGTGGGTGGGGGGAGAACATCCCAACCCAACTCCATAATCTTATGTTGCGTCAAACGTGCCACATGTGGACGTGCATTGTCGTGGAGAAGAAGAACACCTTTCCGATTGACGAGTGAAGGGCGTTTCTAATGAAGGGCTTGATTTAAACGTTCCAGTTGCTGACTATAGATCTCTGCATTGACATTTCGCTGTAGATTGAGGAGTTCGAAATGAATTACTCCTTTGATGTCCCACCAAATGCAAACCATCACTTTCTGCGGATAGAGTCCAGGTTTTGTGGTCGGAAGTGGTTTTTGTCTAGGACTGAGCCATTGCTTTTTTGCGTTTAATATCCGCATAGAGAATTCATTTTTCATCACCGGTGACAATTCTGTCCAAAAATTATTCACGTGCATTATGCGCCAGAAGAAACGAAGCAACGTTCACACGTTGGAAACGATGATCATTGGAGAGTTCGTGAAGCACCCAAACACCTTCTTTATGGAGTTTTCTCATATTCCTTAGATTTTTATGTATTGTTTCATGAGATACATGCAATTTCAGAGCCATTTCACGAGTGTGTTACTTTGGGTTAGGCTCAACAAGCGTCTTCAGAGCATCAATATCAATTCCAACATGCCGGCCCCTGCCATCACAGTTTTTAAGGTTAAAGTCACCTGAACAAAATTTGCTGAACCATTGTTGACACTTACGAACGTTCAAAACATTTCCACAAACTTCTTTGATATTCTTTGTGGCTACAGAGGCGTTGTTTCCCTTCTTGTATTCAAACAGCATTACATGCCGAATGTTTGTGTGTCGTCGTGTGCCATCACTTAAAGGGATTAGACTATACTAAACTTAACACATTATATAGGCTACACTAACGTAACGTTTAGGCGGTTTGTATAACTATTATACGTGATGTGCGTTGTTGTTGGGTTTTTTTTTGGGGGGGGGGTGAAAGTGTTCGAAAATG